AGAATCGAAAAATCAAACAAGAATCGAATTTCTCTAATTTCTTAAATTTTTTATATTAAATAAAATATTTATTTTTTTCTAAATAAATTTGTCAACTAATTAATTGATCCCAAAATATCATTTGAGAGCAATACATATGTCAGGTTTTTACTTTACACCATTTCAAAAATACAAAAACAAATCTCAAATTTCAAAATTCAGGTTTTTTAAATTTTTATTTATGAAATAATAAATTATTAAATCAATTTATTATTATATATTTAATTCTAATATAACATAATTACCCCACCCCACCTGCACCACCCCTACCATTCTGGGGACTATTCCGGCTACCGTTCCGATCACAACTCTTCTCCGGCATCGTTCCGGCAACTGCTTATATTTCGGTGAAAATTCAAAATTTTCAAAGATAGCAATTTGTTTATCGGTCACAAATTAAAAATTTTAAAATCACAATTTGTTCATTAGTCACAAATCACATAATTTATAAGTCACACTACTTATTTTATGGTCACAAATATCACGTTAATTGAACATAAATTATATTTAGGTCACAATTTAATAATTTTTATGTCACACAGCATGTATTGGTCACAATTTATCTAATTCATTGGTCACATATTGTTTATTGGTCACCCAACAACCAAATTATTGGTCACAATCAACCGAATCATTTGTGACCACCACTTCGCCACTGCCTTCACCAGCGGCACCACCACCGTCGCCGCCCAATAGCAACTTCAACATTTCACAACGAACACCACCCCTTTCCCATCACCACTATCACTACCCCAAAACCACCATCGCCATAGGCACGCAATGTACATACCCAACCGCACGATTGTCCATCGAGTGGTCCACCACCCCGTCCCATACCAAATCACGAAGCACACCCATCCAACCATCGCATCGCAACCACAACCACATCAACACAGCCCAACATAGATCTAGATCGCTGCAACCACGTCCTGGTGGTCACCACTAAAAAAAACACAGATTTGTATCGCTGCAACCACGACATCGTCGTGGTGGTCCAACGATTTGAGGGAGGAGAGAAATGTTGGCGGCGATTGTTGTGGTCGTGAGGTGGGTCGCCACCGATCTCTACCAACCGAACACTGGGCCGACGTTGTCATTTAGGGTCAAGGCTTGGACTCGGGTTGTTGGTGGCTGAGGGCGGGTTTGAGTGATCGGTAGGGAGAGAGGGAAGGAAGGGGGGGGGGGGCAGGAGAAAATGGGCAGGGAGAGGGAGAGAGAGAGAGAGAGAGAGAGAGAGAGAGAGATAATTAGGGTTTAAAATTGTGTATGATTGATTTAAATAAAATTTAATTTAAAAATTATTAATTAAAACCTGATTTGTATATTATTAAAGTTGATTCTGTATTTTTTAAAATAGAAACTTAAAAACTTGTGAGGGTGTAATTTCGTCATATCATTTTCCAGTTTTCAGTCTAAGTCCAACTTCGTAATTTAAATTTCAAAGAATCAAAATTGAGTGACCTAAGTTTTTTTCAATTATTCAGTCGTTTCTCAAAATTTAAACATGACGGTTCCACTTACTAAATATCCTAAAATTCTAATTCGATTTGGTTCTCTCTAGTACCTAATCGGACCACGTCTAGTCCTAATTAAATGACTTAACCCTAATTTGTAGAATATGCTAAAATACAATCTAAAATTAAATTTAAATTAAATATTTGTTAGAATAAATACCTAATTCGTGAAGAAACTTATTATGACCTTATTTGTGGGGAAAAAAAAACTAAATGATATGGTTCAACCTAATTTTCTCATTTTATTGTCTCCAACTAAGGTTTTAATTTTTATGATTTTTTTTAAAGGGAACAATTTACAAATACACTTCAAACCTGAGTCCGAGCCTACTTTTGAGGGAGTGGTGAAATCTTTTGATCCCCTTTTGAAAAAAGAAAAATACACTAAAAACTTTAGTAATTTCAAATACACTTTTAAACCTTTTTTATTCTCAAAATTATTTTTATATTTTTACAATACATGATAATATTATGTTACACACATTTCACATGTTTCCACCATCACCATTATCACCATCGCCATTACTTGTATCTCTAGTGTGTTACAAACATTTTGTCATATATTTTCACCGTCATCATGGCTGCCACTATTGCCCCCACTTAGTTATTGTTACACCACCATCGTCGTTGTCACCTTTTATATCATATAGAGTTACAATGAACACAATCAAGACCACCTCTGATACAATGTGCTACATCATGCCGCCATCACCACCACAACTAGAACACTACATGCATCCACCATAAACAACCAATAAAATAAATTACACCATTAGCTGTTAAGACACATCCAACTATCGTCACCGCCACCACATACATCTTCTGGCTACCATCAACTATCACTGCAACAAAAAGGTATACCTTCAAGGACCCCAAAAATGATCAGAACCAGCGTTGTTATCATTGTCTAAACAGATGCGGCTACATAGTAATGCCACAAGTGAAGTTTTTTGGTGTCAATGGAGGTATGTGGTGGTGAGAGAATTGGAACTCGACAATGGAGATCGAAATTGAGTTAAAATATGGTAGGGCCTTCGATTGGCAACAATAGAACACCATACATGATGGAACTTTGCAAAATATGTGATGGACGATTCCAATAGACATGACAACGCCAGTGATGCATGATGGTGAAGCAGCGGGGTTTGAAAAGTCAATCTGATTTTGTGTTTGGAAGGGAGTGGCGGTGATTATTTTTTAGGGTTGGACCTTGTGTATAATTTTTTTTTTTTTTGAATATCATCGCTTCCCAATATGAAACTCGAATCCAAGTCACTGACCTGATAAGCCATCACTCTTATCACTTGAGTTAGACCTTAAGAATGTATTACAAATAAAGTAAAAGTGCTCGGTGAAATTATCCATTATTTTCTGAAAATTTTGCATATTTAATCCCTAGCATTTAGCACATCTAGCGATTTCCTTCCAAACCCTTAAAATCAGACTTTTCAATTCTCAATCTTTAGCTCCATTTACATGTTTAGTCCTTTAACATAATTGTGTAGATGTTAATTTCCTCACGCAAGATACACAAGCTAATTTCTCTAAGGATAGCAAAAACTACCTAACTCAATGTTTCATTCCTTATTTTCAATTTCAAAATTTGAAAGAAAAAACAATTCCTTTTGTTATGCACTTTTTTTTTTAAATCAAAATTTGATTGAATGTGTGACTAGTACGAAGAATACAATTTTTTTTTTTTGTTATTTTTATATTTACGTGCACAGGCGATAATGATTACCATTTAATTTTTCAAATTCCAAAAATGAAACCACCTTTTTGATGGAAAATTTTGAACGACTAGAATTTGACTCAAAATGAAAATTCCAAGTCCAACACTGCATATGGCACCCTCTTTGTTGTGAAAAAGATGACAATAAAAGTAAAAGATAAACACACGGATTTGCAGAGGAATATTTATTTCTTGAGGAATCACAATACAGTAGATTGGGCGACTACTAATTTCGCTTACAAGCCATATGTCAAAAAGTAACATATATATAGTCAGA